AAGCTACGTCGTCTACAGGGCGGAGAGGGGAGAGAAGAATTTATAGACAGCCTAATACCGAAAACTCACGGTGAATAGTTCAGGAACAGGGCCCGGACGGGGGTGGTGATATATTTTGAAACCGGGCTGGCTCGCGCCAGTGTACCATTGCCCATACGCGGACTGCTATGATAATTTTTCGATTGGTGTAAATCTAGAGGATTTGCTTTGGCAATGAAAAGAGGAGAATGTTAGCGATGGGTTAGCAGGAACTGATAAAAATATATATATATATATATTTATAATTGTTAATAAGGAATTTCCCATTGCAGGGATGGTTTGAAAAGTTTATGTTTTTTATTCTATTGATGGTCTATTTTTTTTTTAATTATTTTGAGAATAAATTTTGCATAACGAAAAATTTTCCGAATTTAATATTTCATTGATTGAATCGAATAAAATGAACGAAAAAATTTGAATAAAAAATTATTAATATCTGTTTTAGTCGTTTCAATCTGATGACACAAATCCGGTTTGGTTTCGTTCAATAATGACTGAAAATTTTATTTCGACGTTAATTCGTCATCCATGCGCGACATTAATTTTATAGAGTATCGATGGATCAATTAATCGTGGTTTTATCCTTTGTTTATAAATCATATCGTTTTTCCATTATAATTAGCGTAATAAATGCATTGCTGCGTTTAGTACAGAAATATTCGCAAATGAATTTTCCATTACATTTCATTATATATATCATTATGAAATTTCATTATGAAATTGAACATGTATATATATGTATATATATATATATACAAATATAATATATATAATATGTGCAACAAATGGAAGTAAAACGATGATAACTCTCGGTTGACATTAATAACGCGCATCCTTCTCTGTTAAGGTCAAAAGACTCTGCGGAAGTATCCCGTGATGGTGTTCATTCATGGGGAGAGCTTTGAATGGAACAGCGGCAACCCTTACGACGGCACTATATTGGCAGCTTATGGCAACGTCGTCTTTGTCACTATCAACTTTCGCCTGGGCATTCTTGGTAAATAGATTTAAAAACTCGAATAGTTTTAAGAATTATAAGAATAAATCGTCAAATTTAATCAGAACCAATATTATTTTTACCAAAAATTCTTGTTACAAAACGACGAGCAACAAAGAAATTCATTTTTTTTCATATTGCAAGTATTAATAAGTTATAAGCGAGTAGTATAGGTCAAGCACTTTCGCTACATTGAAGTTTATGTATTCGCGTAAAATTGAAGAAAGATGAAAAGTTGAAAATAAGAGGCATATGTGCACGTTCGAGTCGAAATACGAATACGGTACGTTCGATGCGAAATTTTGTTGAAAGTAGGTAAAGGCGCAGGCCCTCGACTGACATCGTCTCGATACGAATTTATGAAATCTTGGCGAACGCCACCAGCGGCAGCGTTGCATGAAATCAGGAATTCTGCTTCATTAACGTTCGCGCTTCGCTGCGCCATCGGCTTTTTGATCTTCGACCAACTTCTTTTTATCCCTTCCTCTTTCTTTCTTTCTCTCTCCCTCTCTTTCTCTCTCTCTCTCGTGCGACTATCTATCGATCCATCATCTCGCAGCCGGGACAACCGCCATCGTCTCCCGATATCTCTCGCGATCCGCATAAATAACGAGATCTTAGAACGCTACTTCCCAACAACTTCCTGCACAATTTTTATTTTAACCGCAAAACCGGTCTCTCTCTCTCTCTCTCTCTCTCTCTCTCTCTCTCTCTCTCTCTCTCAGTTCGATTAATTTTAATCGGTTTCTTATAAAACCGAACGTAAAACTCCCTATCTCGATATTTTTTTCTTGATATTAAAATTCATTGTCTCTCAGATTTCTAAAAAATATGGAGGCTGCTTGAAAATCGTCTACGCGATTTTTGAAAAATATTTTGAAAAATAAAGAAAGAAAACCAGATAAGACATTTTGATTAAAAAGAAGAGAACGTTGTAACGTTATTATTCGTCGCACGACGAAAATCAGATCGATATGTGGAGGTAAGAGATTCGCAGAGATTGAAGCCGAGGCGTAAAACATTCAAGTCCATCCAAGTTCCTAAACCGAGAAAAAGGAAAATTGTTCCAGGAGGGAGGGGGGAAGGAGGAAAAAAAGAACAATCTGCGGCGAAACAAAGGCGGCCTTTTTGCCCCCAAAACTTTCATCGATCCTTTTTTTCACCATTTTTCCCGTGGCCTGCTCCATATTTTTCCAACTCCCCACCCACCTCGTTCGCAGCTGCCCTATTCGCAACGAATAGAGGCTTCCGCCTATCCTTTTCCCTAAAATGATAACGCAACCTCAGCGCGCGCGATGCAAATGGACGGACGTCGGTGAGCGCGAGATGCGCCGCCACATCCGACGAGTGGTGGGTTTGGAATTTGAAAGTTGGGAGGGAGAGATAAAGAGGAGCGAGAGAGAGAGAGAGAGAGAGAGAGAGAGAGAGAGAGAGAGAATGATGGCGGAGGAAAAAAACGAAGAAGCAACCGCGAAACCATAATCATAAATTAGGTTAAAGTGCTAGAGAAAGGCGTTTTAGTTAACTTCGCCTCTTCCCGTTGGATTAGTAGAGTTGGTTCGCGTTGGAGATCGGAATAACTTGAGCAAAACCTTTTGCGAAACAACGGGAGAAAAATATGGATAACGAGGATGCTCGCGCTAATAAAAAGGAGAAGATGCGCGTCCTGTGGCAAGCGTCTTTACGTCCGTGGTTGATGTCTCGGTGCAGAATGTAGGCCGCCATGAATACAAATACTTCGTTCGAAAGAAATGCGCTCTTTCGCTCAAAGATCTTAATATATGTATAGTAGTATGTCTAGCAGGGAATTGAAAATTGCTTAGAAATTGTAATGTAACGATTTCATTTTGAAACGTGATGATTAAATTTCAAAATAATTAGAATTCATAATTTATTAATGGATGACGAGGATGCTCGAGTAAGAGAAGAAATTTACTTTACATCTCTATATCTTGATGCAGAATGCAGCTATGAATGTAAACTGTTCGCCGACATTTCTCTTTGTGAAACGAATGTACATTTTCGCTGAAACGAATTTTAAAGAATTTAATATGTCTATTATTAGAAATTACTTAGAGATTAAACGATTTTATCGATAATTAAATTTCGAGATATTCGTAATTCTAATTAAAGTGATTTCGATTGGATATACTTTTATTTATCTTTGTATCGTTCGTAGGTTTCTTGAGGCCCGGGATCAGGGACGACACAGCGAGTAATTTCGGTCTTCTGGATCAAATTGCGGCGCTTCTTTGGCTACGAGAGAACATCGCCGAGTTCGGCGGCGATCCGAACAGTATTACTCTGGTCGGCCACGGTACCGGTGCAATTTTTGCTAACCTGCTGCTTATCAGCCCTGTGGCTAATAAGAAAGGTAACGGTTATTGCCGCGTCGCGTGTTTGCGACTTTTGCGATCCCTGAATATTAAGAGAACACTTTCGTGGTGGAGAACACGTAACTTCCATTTTCGTGAAATCGATAAGAGCCCCGTGTTTAAACTTCGATTTTAGAAGCTCGAAGTTTAAGCATCGCTTTTACTCGAGTCGATGGAGTTTGAGATAAATTCGAGACAAAATTTATTTAAACGCGATTTTACTCGAATGTAATTTTCTTAAGATAAAATAACATTTATAAACAACTAGTACAATCAGTAATTTCGTTAATTTTACAAGTGTCAAACAACGAAAAACAAAACGTTGAATTAAATTAAATAAAATTGAATTGGTTGATTCGACGTCTACGAGTCTCGTAAGTAGAATAGATCCTTTACGACCAGACACTCGAGATTCGAGACAAAATTTATTCAAACGCGATTTTATTCGAATGTAATTTTCTTAAGATAAAATAACATTTATAAACAACTCGTACAATCAATAATTTGGTTAATTTTACAAATGTCAAACAAATGAAAAACAAAACGTTGAATTAAATTAAATAAAATTGAATTGGTTGACTCAACGTCTACGAGTCTCGTAAGTAGAATAGATCCTTTACGATAGACACTCGAGATTCGAGACAAAATTTATTCAAACGCGATTTTACTCGAATGTAATTTTCTTAAATTAAAATAAACAATTCGTACAACCAGTAATTTGATTAATTTTACAAATGTCAAACAACGAAAAACAAAACGTTGAATTAAATTAAATAAAATTGAATTGGTTGACTTTTACGAGTCTCGTAAGTAGAATAGATCCTTTACGATCAGACACTCAAGATTCTTTCGTAACTCGCGATTACCATTAAAAATTGCGATAAAATCAACTTTGACTGTACACGTTCCCCAAAGACACGTTGGATTTTCTTGTAAAGTCATCGGGGAAGAATAATCTTTTCTTGCAAGCAAGAAAGGATACGAGGAAACGTGGATACGACGATCATTTTTCAGCGGAGGTACAGGCCGAAGGGAATAGCGTCTTGATATCCGATCAATAATTATACTGTAGAATGAAAAACTTAAGATTTGACGCGCGTGCAAGTAGCGCGATCTCGAGAGAGTCGGGCCATTAATCGTCTTTCCATCTTTCGCAGGTCTCTTCAGTCGAGCTATACTGATGTCCGGATCAGCGTTAAGCGCCGATGCTATCGGGAAAGCACCCTTGCAGATCACCAAACAGGTACATCAATCTCGAACGCGAAAACGAAAATTCTTGCTCACTGATAACTTTCTCATTTAACGCTTTTCCTTATCTAATTTTTTCCTATGATCTTTTTTTCATCCAAATCGTATAATCGTAAAAATTAAAAAGGATTATTACGTCGATTCACGTTGCGTGTTTACCACTAATTCTTGAATTTTAATAGGTATACGTGATTAGTCGTTCTCTTAGAACTGATAAAGCTCGAGTTCAATTTGCGTAATTCTATCTGAAAAGAAAACGAGCGCGTTCAAGTTCCAATCTTGTATCAAAAGAAAAAAAAAATCGATATACAGCATTTACGATTTAAAATGAAAACGAATCCTTTTCGAACGGAGCGTGTACGATCGGATCTCAATATCAGACGGGAATATAGAGAGGGATCGATAGAAGAAGAACATTGCAAGATTTCAAGCTCACAATGGATGATGGTTGAGCCGTGAAAAGGGAAAGTACGATTTTACGCGAATCGACATTTGGCTTGTGGGGAGAATCGGAACGTTTCAATCCCGACGTGTCTGACATCTTGTCGACGGAAGATCGATATCGTGTTGCCCCTCGTGTGTAGGGGTAAACGAGCCGCGTTTCTGAACGCGTACGATCGCCTCGTATCCAGGGTGGAAGGACGTAAGTCGCGCGGTTGCGATTCGAATATCGGCGGAAATATCGTTTCTTTTTCTTTTTTTTTCATCGCGAGCAGCAATTTCGTCGTCGATGATTTCAACGTTGAGAGCGTTCACGATAAAATGGTTGGAATCGTTCTTTTCAGGTGGCGCACGCCCTTCACTGCCCCACCACCACCGACAGCGATCTGGCAATATGTTTGCGCGGCCAAGACGTGGACACTCTGCTGAACGTAAAGATTCATAAACCGAATTACGTCCCTGCATTCGCTCCGTTGATCGACAACGCGGTCATTCCGGACAAGCCTTACAACTTGATGAAAAATCCTCAGTTCGACAGGTACATCGCGGAATATATGCTAACACGTCGAATATTTATTATTAGAAAAACTGTTTTAAAAGTCTCTTATATTACGATTGACGCGTTCGTACGAGTTTCTACGTCCACGTATTTTTAATTTAATGATTTATCCGCGCAGCGCAGTTCACTTTTTCGCATAATTGAAAATCCGACGATATGGAAATATATTTATTTATATTTACGATGTAATATTCTAGATATATAATTTAAATAACGAAAGAGCAAAGTAAATTTTGCTCGTTATCTATATTTTCAGAACAATTAATCTTTCCTTTTTAATTAATTCGTTGATACTATGTGCAGCTCGATAGCTGCTATTTAAATGCATTTTTATCAAAGAAAAATTCCATATCCGATATGTGTAAAAATGGTTGAATTCGAAAATTTATAGGCGACTTTAAAACGTTTTTGCGACGGCTTCGAAAAAGGTGTTCGAAAAACTTTCATTCAATCCTACTCGAGTGAAATTTTCGTCCATCTATCGTTTCAAAGTTACGACTTGGCCTAGTTGAGTACCTAGTAGAGAAGTAAGTACGCGCAGCGGCGTAATATAAATTCAATATAATCTAACGTGTGTTTAGAAAAATATGTTTCTCTTTTTTACTGTAGTAAAAGTATATATAAGTACGCCTCGTAAATTGGAGAAATACGCGAAAACTTGAAAGGAAAAAAAATGTGTTTGTAAACAGGTTCGATCTGATGTACGGCGTCACGGAATCGGAGAAGTATCACTTGTTGTCACCGGTGGATCTGATGCACGGGATGTCGGAAGGGCAGAGGGATGCGGTCCTGAAGGAGCACGCCAAGGTACGAGCGCACGTTTCGATTTCTTTCTTCGCTTAATTTTCTCGGCCGTTGGATCCGTCGGAATCCCGTTTCTTCCCGGATTCGTGATTTATCGGGGAGAGAAATTGGTATACGCGTTGGAGGAACGGAATATTTGTACACGATATTGAACCGTGCGAAATTCAGCCGACGTGCCGATAACAAAGTGACGCGATATTTCTTGGTCGGCAGGCGACGCACGAGCTTGAAGCGGAATTAATCCTGTCCAAGATTCTGGAACAATACGGCGATTTCTCGCCAGGATTTCAGGGAGAGTACATGCTGAAGAATCGCGATCTCGTGCTCGAGGCTCTATCCGACAGCGGTACCGTCGCCCCGTTAATAATGGCCGCGAATTTGCACTCGAGGGCGAACCCGAACAGCTACATGTACGTCTTCGCGCATCCGAAAGCGACGCAGGAGTACTCTGGCGTAAGTAATCCTTTCGAATCCGCTAGTTCTAGCTTCGTTCCTTCCTCTTCTCGATCAATCGCTCGATTGCGATAATAAATACTATTATTTACGTTTTTGCAAAATTAAAGATAAAATAGGATCTCCACTACACAACAAATCGAATCGTGCATCTTTCGTACAAAGATCGCAATCTTCGAGAAGAAAAATTCTGCGTTAAAAACTCGAGCGAATGTACAAGCTTTCCACGGAGTTGGATCGAAACTCCACGAAATCGCAATATGATGAAAAGGTCCGCTCCCTATTCAAGAGTCGCGGTTCGATGGGTGATAACGGAACACTCTCCGGCTTGACGAATTCGGAATCCGGGTCGAGGACCCGGAAGAAGGCTGGTAGAAAATATTAAGGAAGCTGTACAAATCCGAGGCGGGCCCCGTGGAAACTGGAGCACGTACGATTAGACGGTGTACTTTGCATTTTATTCATTTTCCGCCGGCAGCGCGCGAGATTCCTTGGCGGAAACTGGTCTGAGGGAGCGTGACCTACTCTGACCAGGTTGGTCGGATAGAAAAATCCCGGCTGCGAAGGCCCATTTGGACGCCGTCCAACTATTTTTATCGCCGCTGCGTACCGGCCTGTTACGCTCCACGTCCAAGAGTACAGTGACCGGACCTCTGTCGTTAAATCGAACGTCACGTTTCCAACCTTGCTCGTCGTTACCTGTGGAATTTATGAACGACAAAAAGGAGACGTTCTCGACAGGAATTGATGCGGTAGCAATTTTACCACGACAACAAATTCGTGATTCCAGAATATTCTTTGACTCGAGTGGAACGACAAAAAGAAAATGTTCTCGACAGGAATATCGTAGCCACTGTGCTGGCAAAAGTGTCGGCAAATTCACGATATCTATGAGTATTGCTCTCAATTGGAATATCAATATCTTAACTTTTTTTTCAGATATATTTATTACGTGTTTGTACGAATTTGATTCGATTGATATTTATTTGTATCAGATACGTATATAGGCGTGTCTTTAAAAGAATTTTAAAGACAATGGAAAACAAATTCGTGATTAATTTAAGAATATTCTTTGACTCGAGTACTTGAAATCGTGCGATTGATCGATTAATATAAATTGTCAACAACAAGTGGAGCGAAGAAGTTGCAATAACGAGAGTAATTCCCTTTTTCTCTACGAACGTACAAAGCGTGTTACATCAAACATTCTTGCGTATTTGCAGCAACAACGCAAGTATACCGTGCACAGCGAAGAGTTGCCATATTTGCTGGGCGCTCCTCTCGATGGGTTGCGCGGGCGATACGATATCGGCGAAACGCTCTTCTCCGAGGCTATAATGAACTGGTGGTGCAGTTTCGCCTACATAGGGTAAGTTACTACCACCTCTAAATAATAGAATAAATCGATCGAATTAATAAATTTAAGAATAACTTGTCCAGAGTAACGATATCGGATATTAAATCTCCTCTAAACATTCTGTTATTCCGCCCTCGTTTTCATCTCCCAGAGATTTCCCCCCTCCCCCCGACATTGGATGAAATAAAACGGCGTAAAATGTTCAATAAAAATTATGATTCTCGCCAATCGCGGGAACGACCATTACGACCATTCACGCGACGAGAAACGAGCATCAGGGAGATTTAACAGGGTCGCGGTTAAATCTATTTGGAAAAATAATTACAAGTCTCGTGGGCTGGGTAGGTAGTAACCGGGAATGGTTAAACATAAATATTCAGGGACCCGTATAATTGAAAATCATGTTTGAGAGGGCGTCACTCTATTTTCCGTTGGCCGGCTGATAATGAATTTCCACAGGTTGAACTCAAAATTCCCCGTTGCAGTTTTATCCCGAGTTACCACGCTCTCGAATTATTTGTATAAAATTCTCAGAGATTTATCGTGCAAAGCGGTCAAAGCGAAGTCGAGGTGAACGAGATGGGCGGGAAAACGGCATAGGTGAATGAAAACGACGGTTTCAACGCCGTTTTCGAATTTATTATTTAACGATAGAGTCGAACCAGCTTTCGAATTCGCTAATTTTAATCGGCGGTATAAACACATATTCGAACTTTGCGCCAATTTTCATCGCTTGTTTCAGTCCATTTAACATCCTTTTTAACAATCATTTAAAAAATTTCAATCTTTGGAACGAAAGAAGTAACAAGTTTGCGTTTAATGGTATATAAAAAAATCGAAAAAAGAAAAACTGAAAATTATTAAATATGCGAAATTGTTTATCCGAAGAATTAAAAAATTTTAATAATTCTAAAAAATGGAAATAACAGATGATGATAAAATTTTAAATATTACATTTATAGATTTCATTCAACTCTCGCGTCCGCGTTGTCGAATTCCGCGAGAATCGTCAAATCTTGTTCATTTTTTTTCTTTTTTTCTTTTTTTTTTTGTGATATCATTCTATCGATAGGAGACTCAATTCGTGGACCGTAAATCGCGATGACTAAAATGCACATCTGCTAAATGGAGCGCAATAATTAAAACGTAAGTTAAATGGACTAGTTCGGCCCGGTTCCCATTATTTACTATTCGAACGTGTTGTTGTTCCACAACTCATTACAAAGTCTTGCGCGTGAAAAAAGTAGCGAAGAATCTTTTTTTTTTTTTTTTTACGTTTAATTTGATTAGCCCGAATATCGGAGAAAAAAAAGTG